AGAGGAGAGAGGAGAGAGAGAGGAGGGGAAGGAGGAGAAGAAAGAGGAGGTGAGGGGGGAGACAGAAGGAGGAAGAAGAAAGAGAGGAGGAGAGAGAGAGTGGGAGACGAGGAGGAGAGAGAGGGAAAGAGGAGGAGGAGAGGCAGAAGGAGGAGAAAGGGAGAGAGCGGGGAGAGAGGGAGAAAAAGAAGGACAAGGAGGAAGGAGAAAGAGGAGAAGAGAGAGGGAGGGGACGGTGCAGAGCATCAATCAGTGGCGGCCTGTCGTGGGAGGTGGCTTGGAAGCGAGACGCACCCTGGGGTGGGGTGTCCCTGACTTTTGCGCAGGGCGGTGGTCCCGCTGCAGCACTCACCTGCGCAGGAGCTTGGCCTTGAGCGAGGCGCGGGAGGCGCTCCAGGAGCTGAGTGCCGGGCTGCTGAGGGCGGTGGGCCGCGTGTGGTCGAGCACCGTCAGGTCCTTGCCCTGCTTCCACTGCTCGTAGCGCTCGGGCTGCAGGATGCGCACGAAGATGTCCATGGAGATCTTCACCATGTCCTTCCGGCAGGTGCACTGCGGAGGGAGACGGGCGTCAGGCCTCTCCCCGCGGACCCGGGCCTATGCCGCAGCTGGGCGGGGCTCGGACACCCCGCGCGGGGGCAGGCCTGTGCCCAGACCCCTCCGCTTTGTCCGCCACCTGCAGCCACACCTTTCTTTTTCTAGAACTTCTACAGTTGTGAGACAGGAAGTGGCGGCTTCTTTCCCTCAGGTAAAAACTGAAGCTGCTGCACCAGTGGGAGCTGCCGGGGAGTGGACCCCCACTCATGACGACCCCATGCGTGTCCGAGCAGAGCTGTGCTCCACACGGTTTTCAATGGCTGGTTTTTCGGACGCAGATTTCCAGGCCTTTCTTCTGAGGTGTGTCTGGGTGGACTCACCTCCACCCTTTCAGCTAGCAGCCGAATGCTTAACCATTTGTACCACTCAGGGACTCAGGCTGCTGTATGACTCCTCAAATTGTGAACCCCTGGTCCCCCCCGACAAAGTTACAACAACCACCTCGCAGGAGTCCCTGGGTGATGCCAACAGTCAACACACTTGGCTGTGAACCGATGGGCTGGAGGGTCAAGTCCACCCAGAGGTGCCTCAGAAGAAAGGCCTAGCAATCTCCTTCTACAAAAATCAGCCACTGAAAACCTTATGAAGCACAGCTCTACTCTGACACCCATGGGGCCCCATGAGTTAGGGTCGACTCGACAGCAACTGGATTTTTCACCACCTGGTGGGTGTTGAAGACAAGGAGAGCTGTGCCCTGCGCTGAGGGCTCGGGAACCAGGACCGGTGCTCAGAGGACGCCTCCGGGCCAAGTCTGAGCTTTGCACCTTGTGTCTGTGCAAAGAGAAGTCTCCCTCCAGTCAGACACGCAGGCCCCGAGCAGGCCCCCGAGCTGATGGAAACATGTGGACTACTTTCTAAGAGCAGAAAGAGGAAGACAGCTGGCAGGCCCGCACGCAGAGCTCACAGAAAAAACAAAGAAACAAGCATGATTCCCAGAAGGTGTGAGGCGCCAGTGCAGGACCGCCCACCTGTGACAGGAGCCTTGCTGAGTGTGGGGCTTGGGAAGTGGGTGCTGTAGGGCAGAAGGGGAGGAGCCAGGAGACTCAACGGTTTGCCCCAGGGCACCCAGCCAGGACTCCACCCAGAACTCAGGACACTCCCAGGGACACCCTCAGGGGCAAAGGGCAGCCCCAACCTCCTGCAACTGGGACTCCCGCCTCTCCGCCACATGCCCAGGCTGAGCGGGCGGCCGCTGTCTCAAACCCCTCCACAGCCCCCTTCGTTGTCGCTGCCTCTTTCTCAGTGGGGATGAAGGAAAGACAGGAAAAGACGTAGCTGAATGAGACAGCTGTGTCCCCCAGCCCTGGCCAGCCTTCCAAACATCCCTCAATTTGCTCCGGACACACTGACATATTTAGGACCCAAATCTGAGGCTGCTGCAGTGTGGGTGGAGAGCAGAACAGAACACCCGGGGACACCCTGCAGACCCCTGCCCCGTCGCCATGGCTGACGCCCCTCCCAGGTGGGAGCCGCATGGCACCTCCTGCTGGCTCTTGGGGCCCAGACTCGGGAACAGTAACAACCCGGCCACGCTGAGCGGGAGGGAATATTTATGGCCAAGCGATTCCCAGCAAACTCAATTCATTTAATGAAAAATGGCGCAGGAGAGCACGACTGGCAGTGTAATTTGGCCGCCGAGTGGCAGGGCACAGATGGTGCCCAAGCTTCAGATCCTGGCCTGGCTGAGCCTCCCCGGAGTCGCCATCGATGACAGCTGAAGGGATGTGTATCGAGTGGCTCTGCAATTGCTTTTCCTTAAGTAATCAGGGGGAGCACCTGTGTGCACTTGTGTGCCCCCCCGCAGCCGCCAGGCCCGGCTCCCCTGCATCCTCTGCCCCGGCCAGCTGCCCTACCAGGACCAAGCTGCCCGCCTGAGCCTGTCCTCGGCGGCAGGGCCTCGGGCTGCCTTCCAGGACAGCAGTGGCTGGGAACACTCCTAACCATGTCCCCTGGGGGCTCTGGTTTGCAGTGGGTTTTTTCATTGGTGTGAGGCTGGGATTTGGGGAGAACAGGCTCCTGGGAAAGTCCCTGGGTGGTGCAAACGGGTTTGCACTGGACTACTAACCTAAAGGCTGGCGTTTGAACCCACCCAGCAGTGCTGCAGAAGAAAGGCCTGGCAATCCGTTCCCTTAAAGGTTACAGCCAAAAGAACCCTATGGGGCACACAGGGTCACCATGAGTCATACTCGACTCCACGTCAGTGAGTCTGGTTTGATTTCAGGCTCCCAGGGGGAGGAAGGCGACAGCCTCACAGACATGGGTCCTGTCCACGGTCACTTCTGTGGCCAGCAGCTGAGCTCAGGGGCACGGGCACCACAGACACAGTGCCTCCTTCAGCCCACAGTGTGGGAGAGAAAGCTGCTAGGACCTGCCTGAAGATCCACCTTCTCAAAACCAGCTTCCCGGGCCGAAGCACTGGGCCTCGCTACAGCGACCACCCAGCCGTCTAGATCAGGGACATGTTCCCGCACGGGGGCTGGCCCCTGGAGGCCAGCGGTCAGAGTGGCGCCAGCAGCAGCCAAGCACCCGACATCTGACGGGGACATGAGCTGCTTACCATCCGGGGGAGGCAAGGAGGCTGGGAGGTGGGGGAGGCCTGGGGCAGCCTCCCAGCACCCGTGAGGAAACGGAGGAAACCACACTCATGGATTCCGCTGACAAGGCCCCAACTGCGGACTCCCCTCACCAGGCCCCCACACCATCTGGGATCCCCCAGAGTTACCCAAGTTAATGGTCCCTAACTGATCTAAATTCCTGCTCCCCGACTTAGCATCCTCGTCAGCCTCGAGACAGAGATGGAACGAGCCCTCCGAGGGGAGCTTGGCTGTCATTAGTTTCTGATGGAGAAATCAGGCCTCAGTTGGCGAGAAGGAGGTCTGAGTGGCCCCCTGCAGGCTGAGCATGCCCCAGGGCCCTGTGTACCGGCGCCACCAGGGCATCGAGCGCCCTGACAGCTCCAAGCGGCCGGGTAATGAGGACAGGCCCGGGCGGGAGATGGCTGCTCAAATCTGCTCCAGCCCAAGGCAGGGGGGCCAGTAATCACATCAGTGTCTAGTGGGGCATCTGGGGACAGATGGGGACAAGGCGAGACGTGGCGGGGGAGGGGGCAGACAGCATGGCCTCCCAGGACGGCCTCTGTGCCGAGACAAGCTGTGGCTCTCACGGGGCCCGCCCGGCCTGCCCGTGGGCTCGGCTTGTCCACTGTGCTCTCAGCCCACCCCGGGTTCTGGGATGGGGATGGCCCCGTGTCCTCCTCCATACTTCCCCAGGGACGCCGGCTGCCAGCAGAGCAAAGGGTCTGACCCAGGACGAGGCGGGGTGCCCCTCTTGCACCCCCAGACACCAGCAGCAGGCCGGCCTCTCTGCGGGGCCTTCCATCAGACACGCTGCCCACCAAAGCCCCTGCCACAAGTGACCCATCGGTGGAGCTCTCTCAACGGCACACCCAAGCAGAGAAAAAGCGCAGCTCAGAGCTTCTGACAGCAGCAAGGAAAAGCAGCTGTGCCCAGAGGAAAAGGCACGCCCCCAGAGATCCCCCACGCAAGGCCCTCTTCTGGAAGGAGCAGATGCTCACGATGGAGAACGATGCTCGAGACGGCTGTGCACCTCAGACACAGGCAGGACACCGCTTCTCCTGCTTCATATGAACACGTCCCCTGACCTCCCCTGCCAGTGATCCAGCCAGAGGCAGTAAGAAATTCAGACAAGGGCGTTCTTGGCTTCATTACCGAGAGAAAAACACAGGCACCAAAGGAGTCTTAACCACACCGTGCACGAACCACGGGCTGATTAAAGAATGACGGTCCTGCTCGGCGACACGGCCTGTTGCTGCTAAGATTGGGCTTGGAGAACCGTTTACACGACACCAACGTCTTTGCGGGGTACCTGTTAGCTGAAGAAATGCAACATGTGCAGTCATGGATACAGTCAGGTCCCAATGACGAGCAGACATCTTTAGAACAAGATGAGGAAATGCATGAAAACACCAACCGTGGACCTTCCGATTGGGGGTTTAAATCATTTTTGGGCTGTTTATTCTTCTAGATCGCTCTGTTGAGCGGGTGACCCATCTGAGCCAGGGTTTGGCACATAGGGCTCCAAGGGCCAAATCAAGCCTGTGTTTATAAATAAAGTTTTACTGGCACATGGCCACACCCGTTCATGTACGTATTGTTAACGGAGGCTTTCACACTGTAACAGCAGACTCGAATAGTCTTGGTGGAGGCTATCTGGCTGCAGAGCCAAAGATATTCACTAGCTGGTCCTTCGTAGGAAGTGTGCTGACCTCTACTTTAAGTCACACAATTTGTTGTTATTGTTAGCTGCCCTTGAGTCAACTCTGACACATGTCGACCTTATGTATAAGAGAACGACACACTGCCCAGTCCTGCATCACCCTCACCATCACCTGCCCATTCGAGTCCATTGTTGAGGCTACTGTGCCAATCCACCTCACTGAGGGTCTCCCTTGCCTTTGCTGGCCCTCTACTTCATCAAATATGATGTCCTTTCCTAGTGGTGGGTGATGACGTGTCCAAAGTAAGCAAGTCGGACAATGTTCTGTAGGGATCCATAGGGTTTTCATCGGCTAATTTTCAGGAGATCACCAGGCTTTTCTTCCTAGTTTGTCTTACTGCAGAAGCTCCGCTGAAACCTGTCCACCATGGGTGACCCTTCTGGTATTTGAAATACTGGTGGCATAGCTTCCAGCATCACAGTAACATGCAAGACACCGCAGTATGACAAACTGACAGACAAGTAGTGGAAAATAATTTTTACAAGGTAACTAACCAGAGGTTGAAGGACCTCGGTGGCCACCCTCCCACGCACCGACTTTAGTGACCCATGTGGGTAGTGGCAGATGTGTCCGTGTGAAGACATGCAGCACCCTTTCTTTTCTGAGCTTGGCGGCCACACTCCATCACCTGGCTCCTGAAGTCTGACCCCCCGGCTAG